AGAAGACCGAATGTTTCTGAAAGGATTACAAATGGGAAAAAAAAACAAACTTGAACCTTTCCTACATCAATACAATTTTGAAATACAAAGAGAAACAAGCAGGGGGTTTAATAGTAAAGCAAAAGGTTGGAAACCTAAAAACTATAAATATTTTATTTGCTGTTCACGAAGGTTTTAAAAAGATCAACAAAGATTTTTATAAAAAATTGAAAGCAATTAAAAAGGTATTGGCAGATAGAGAAGACCTTGTGACTGGACTAATCGATTTAATAGAAAGAATAGATGTTGTGTATGACGATCTATACTCATGGTACCCGGGGATTAAATACAGTGGTCCGTGGAGCTTTTTTGTTGAACTTGTCCCGAATATATTCAGTGAATATAAAAAATATTATATCAGAGCTTTAATATCTCGAAAACAACTACAAGAAAAGATATTGAAGGTATTTAAAAGTAGGATGAACAAATCATTAAGTGATTTCCATGTTATAAACAAAGACATGCTCTTGTTTAATTTAGAACAAGGCGAAGGAGACATTAAAAGATTTAAAAAGGAAAGCAATGTGGTTCGAAGTATAATTAATGGAGTTTATTGGGGGATTTCTAGTGATAGGAATTGTCTAAAAGAAAATATTCTGTCTATAATAGGTTCACCTCAAAGAAATATCAACTACAGCAAACATATTCAATTGGAATTAAATGAAGATCAAACTTTAGTAGAAGTAGAAATAAATTCAAAAACCCATTTGTTGTTTTTAGTTGAATTTAATGATTTTTTAAGTACAAATAATCGTTCTAAAGATAAATTAATCAAACTAAAATTGATTGATATTTTGAATATATAAAGAGAGATTTTCATAGACAGTAAAAAATGTGCTATTAGATACTAAACAGATTTGATCTCGGATTAGCAACGATCAAATTTCATCAAAAAAGAATTGAATTATACAAGTAAAGTAAAAAAAAAAAAATAAAAAATAAACGATTGTTCCTCTTTCTAGGACTACTGTAGTTGGTCTATCAATGATATTACCTTACTTTTTTTTTTGTTTGCAAAATTTATATTTGAAACTGATTGTATCAAAGCTTTAACGCGAACGTTTTAATACTTCGGGTAATTTGCATTTCTTTAGAAATCTTATAGTTTCCTACTAGGTAAAGGTTCGGATAGCAGTGAAAAACTCTTTTAAATATATTAAGAAGTTTTCATAAACGGTAGAAAAGTTCTATTAGACACAAAAAAGATACGAACTCGGGTTAACAACAGTTGATTTTCGTTGAAAAGAAATATAATTTCTACAAGTAAAGGAAAAAGAAATAGTAGAATTTAAACGATTTTTCTTCTTTCTAGGACTTCCGCTGTCGGTCCATCAATGATATCAACTATTTTTTTTCGGTCTTAAAATTTATATTTGTATCTATTTGCTTTAAAGCCTAAACGCTAACGTTTCAAAACTACTGTTAATTAGCACTTCTTTAGAAATCTTACTGTTTAAATCTACTTATAGGTACAGAAGGCAGCGGAAAATTCTTTTGAATATATTAAGAAATATTCATGGACAGTAAAAAATGTGCTATTTGACACTAAACCGATTTGTCCTTGGGTTAGCAATGATAAAATTTCGTCAGAAAAGAATTCAAGTCTACACAATAAGTAAACACAAAGAGTGGAAACAGAAAGATTGTTTCTCATTCTAGGACTGCTGTGGTCGGTCTATCAGTTATATCAACTTTTTTTTTGGTCTTAATATTTATATTAGTAACTATTTGCTTTAAAGCTTAAACGCTAACGTTTCTTAACTACTGTTAATTAGCACTTTTTTAAAAATCCGGCAGTTTTTAACTACTAACATGTCCGGAAAGCAGTGAAAAATTCTTTCGAATATATAATGAAATACTAATATTCGGTAAAAAATGTGCTATAAGACACTAAACAAATTTGATCTCGGGTTAGCAACAATCAACTTTCGTCAAAATAGAATTGAAATATACACGTAATATTAACAATAAAATAGTAGATATAAACGGTTGTACCTTTTTTTAGGACTGCTTTAGTCGGTCGACTGATGATATGAATCTTTTTTTTTTGGTCCTTAAAGTTATATTCGTATCTATTTGCTTTAAAGCCTAAACGCTAACGATTTAAAACTACTGTTAATTAGCACTTCTTTAGAAAACTTACAATTTAAATCAATCAAAAGGTCCAGGAAGCAGCAAAAAATTCTTTTGAATATACTAAGAAATATTCATAGACAGTAAAAAATGTTGTATTTGACACTAAACAGATTTGTCCTCAGGTTAAACCGATAAAAATTCGTCAAAAAAGAATTCAATTCTTCACGTTAAGTAAACAAAAATAGTTTAAATAGAGCGATTTTTCCTCTTTCTAGGACTACCGTGGTCGAACCATCAAGGATATTAACTATTTTTTTTTGTACCTAAAAATTATATTCGTAACTATTTACTTTAAACCTAAAACGCTAAAGATTCAAAACAACTGTTAAATAGCCCTTCTTTAGAATTCTTGCAGTTTACATCTACCGAAATGTCCAGAAAGCAGCGAAAAATTATTTTAAATATATCAAAAAATTTTTATAGACGGTGAAAAATGTGCTATCCGACATTAAACAGATTTGATCTCGGGTTAGCAGCAATCAAATTTCGTTAAAAAAGAATTGAATTATACACGTAAAATAAAAAAAAATAGTTGAAAGTAAACGATTTTTTCTTTTTCTAGGACTAATGTTGTCGGTCTATCAATAATATCAACTTTTTTTCTTTGGTCTTTGTACGATCGGAATCGATCGTGAGCGAGAAATTCACGTTTGTAAACCGCACCTTTAGTCCGACATTAACGGTCGTATCCTCACCACTCGGCGGCGAGTGCGTACGCCCTGCTGGGCCCATTATCGAAGACATTCGTCCTATTCTTTCGCTGGACGCTTAAGAAAACACTACATAATACAAACGAACTTCATAGACGATCCAACATCCCAGGAGTAGTGCAATCACATCCTAGTGTCGACGATAGAAAGGTGACGGACCGCAGAGGCGGTAATTAATGGTAAAGAAAGGGAGAGGGGATACGAAACGGTAAGAAACAGTCTTTATTGGTACCAATCAGTTCGAACGGATTAACGAGAGGAGCGGCTCCACGTGATTTGCCCGTAAGTGACCGTTGGTAGAGAGACGAGAAGTCAACTACGGGTTTGTCCGTGGTTGATCGTCATTAACGTGTAACGTAGCATTCAAACAGGGTTTTTATGCCGTAAGGCTTTTCCCTGATGAGCCAATAAAGCATTAGCATTTTTATTAGCTCAATCACGTGTTTTATTTTGTTTTAATTACCCTTTCACCTTCCTCACAATTAGTTGAATTCAATCGCCGGAGGACTCCAYGTTGGAGGAATTTTTGGCAAATACAGTCTTTAAATTTATATTAGTATCTATTTGGTTTAAAGCCTAAACGCTGACGTTTTAAACCTATTAAATATTAACACTCCTTTAGAAATCTTGCAGTTTAAATCTTCTAAAAAGTACAGCAAGCAGTTTAAACTTCTTTTAAATACATTAAGAAATATTCATGGACAGTAAAAAATGTGCTTTTAGATACTAAACAGATTTGATCTAAGGTTAAAAACGATCAAAATTCGTCAAAAAAAATGGAATTCTAAACTTTAAATAAACAAAAATAGTTGAAATTAAACAATTGTTACTTTTTCTAGGACTGCTTTAGTCGGTTCATCAATGATACCTACTTATTTTTTTCGTTCTTATGATTTATATTTGTAACTATTTGGTTTAAAGTTTGAGCGCTTACGCTTTAAGATTTCTGTTTATTAGCACATTTTTAGAAATCTTATAATATCTAACTACGTACAGATCCGGAAAGCAGCAAAAAATTCTTTTAAATATATTCAGAAATTTTATTAGAAAGTAAAAAATGTGGTATTAGAAACAAATCAGATTTGATCTCGGGTTAACAACGATCTATTTTCGTCTACAAAAAATTGAATTTTACAAGTAAATAAACAAAAATAGTAGAAATTAATTAATTGTTCCTCTTTCTAGGACTGCTGTAGTCAGTCCATCAATGATATGAACTAATTTTTTTCCGCCTTATAATTTATATTCGTAACTATTTACTTTAAAGGTTAAACTCTAACGGCAAAAAGTTTCATATTATTAGCACTTCTTTAAAAATCTTACAGTTTCTCACTTCAGATAGGTCCGGAAAGCAGCGATAAATTCCTTTAAATATTATTAAAAATTTTCATAGACAGTGCTAAATGTGCTATTAGACACTTAACAGATTAGAACTCAGGTTAACAACAATTGATTTTTTTCGAAAAAAAAAATTTAACAAGTAAAGTATACAAAAATAGTTGAATTTAGACAGCTTTTTTTCTTTCTAAGACTGTAGTAGTCGGTCCATCAATGATATTCACTCATTTTTTCCGGTCCTTAAATATATATTCGTATCTATTTGCTTTAAAGCTTAAACGCTAACGTTTTAAAACTTCTGTTTATTAGCACTTTTTTAGGAATCTTATAGTTGCAAACTACGTACAGTTCTGAAAAGCAGCGAAAAATTCTTTTAAATATATTGAGGAATTTTAATAGACAGTAAAACATTTGATATAAGACACAAAACAGATTATTTCATAAGTTAACAACGATCGACTTTCGTCTAAAAAGAATTTAATTCTACACGTAAAGTAAAAAAAATAGTAGAAATTAAACAATTGTCTTTCTTTCTAGGACTGCTGTGGTCAATCCATTAATGATATTAACTAACTTTTTTCTGTCCTAAAATTTATATTCGTAACTATTTACTTTAGAGTTTGAGCGTTAACACTTACTATTTATTATGTTTAAAATTTAAAAATTCCGTTGTAGATGTGATTTAAGTTATTTGTGTTTGTTCTATAATTTACCGTATTATTATTACATATGTGATACATTTCGCTGATGTTTCTTTTGTACCAGTTTTCCTCCTAATCTAGGATAGTTGCTGCGTCAAATTTAAAAATATGTCCTGTTGTAAAATGGTGTTCAGCTAACGCTGTGGTATTGGTTTTGTTCACATTTACAGGTTTACAGTCATTTTTGTGTTGGTCTAATCTTTTTTTTAATTTCTGTTTCGTTTGACCAATCTTCTCACATTCACATGGTATTTTGTACACTA